AATTTTCTCTTTAATAAAATATATAATCGAGATTAATATTTCTTTCTATCTCAGCTAAACGTTAAGATGCAAACTTCATTTTACATATTTATTAATACATTTTATATCAGTAATTTTTTATATTTTTAGTAACTTATTAGTATTCAAGTATTAATATTTACTAGGACTATGTGGTCTAATGGTACCAAGGTTAGACTTTCATTTGGTAGATTATGAGTTTGAGCCTCAGTGGAGGCGTTATTGGTTTTGGTTTTTTGTGTTTCAGTAGGTTGAGAGAGTATATAAACAGATACTACAATGTAATAGAGCCAGTAGCTTTCAAAAAAAAAAAAAAAAAGGTATTAATATTCATTCCAGTTTCCAAATTGGCCTAATTTTAATGAAATTTTTTATATTTTCAGTAATTTATTATTTTATTAATAATCAAACATCAATATTCATTTCATTTTTATTTTTTAATCAAGTATTAATATTCATTTCATTTTTTTGCATTTGAGTTAATTTTGAAGCATTTTTTATTTTTAGTCAATTATTAATAGTCATTTCTTATTTTAATTGGCCTAAATTTCGTGCCGTTTTTATACTCAGTTAATAATTATTTTTCAAATATTCTTTTAAATACTATAATTTCACGTATGAACATGGTGTCGATAAACGAATAAAACAAATGAATATTCAAAGTAATGTAAAACCATTAAATCTTTCAATTATTTTTGAGTTAATACCCAAAATCGTCCTCCACTATAGTGATTTTTCTCGATTTCGTCCTAAACGACTTTGGTGACCTAATATCGTCCCAGACTTTTGTGTTTCGCTCAATTTAGTCTTCCATTTGTTATTCCGTCAAATTGGTGTTAAATAAAGGGACAATTCAGTAATGTCAATATTGATCTCTCTTCACTTTCAACTTGTGAAGTGCGAAATTCCTCTTTCTTGTACGAATTACACCCAGAATTACTCCCAGACCTGTAAATCAAATTTTATATTCGCAATTTTAGGAGTAATTCTGGGAGTAATTCGTAAAAAAAAAAAAAGGGATTTCGCAGTTGACATGTCTATGAGTAAAGAGATGTCAATATTAAAATTACTGAATTGTTATTTATTTAACACCAAATGGACAGAATAATAAATGAGGAACTAAATTGAGCACAAACACAAAAGTCTGGGACTAAATTGAGCAAAACACAACAGTCTGGGACGATATTAGGTCACCAAAGTCGTTTACGACGAAATTGAGAAAAACCACTATAGTCGAGGACGATTTTGGGTATTAACTCAATTATTTTTCAAATATTCTTTTAAATATTATAATCTTTAAATAATTTTTTTAAAAAATTTAAAAATAAATAAATAAAACGACGGGTTGGCTGCCAGCCACCCCGTCTTTTTTTTTTTTTTTTTTTATAATTATTATCAAAAATTATTTTAAAATTATTAAAAATAACAACCCAACTGTCACGTAAGAAGGTAACCTGCTATCAGGTGAAATTGAATACATTTGGAGTGTTCAGTGGCCTAAATTGTACCTTTTTTTTTTTCGTTCAGTGGCCTAATTACATTTTCATATTACGTTCAGTGGCCAATTTAAACATTATTCCATTATTATATATTCCATAATCAGAATATATATGATTTTATATAAATACCCCTAAGTTTTGGGGGGGAAAATTGGTTTGGAGGATTTTACTTTTCTATATATATATATATATATATATATATATATATATATATATATATATATATATATAGAGAGAGAGAGAGAGAGAGAGAGATTTATATTTTGTTACAACTATTATTTATACATAGAAATTATTTGAAAAAGGACCTCAAATTAAGATATTGTATAGGTCCCAGTTTTTATTGGAATGGCCCTGTAGGGTGATTACAAACATACAGGAAAGTGTATGTATCTCATACACACCTAGAATGGTTTGATTCTTTGTATTCCCTAACGTGTTTTTCATTCTTGTTGAGTTATAGTCGAGTTGGTGGATTGGCAAAGATGACAAAGATGTTATTTCAAGACTTATGAAGGATTCTTGCTTTATCAATCAAGATTAATTTCAAGATGCTTAAGGCAATCAAGCAAGAATTGAGTCGTTTAACGGATTGATATTGGAAATACATTTCATGAAAGCACTGCTATCAAAATTTCCTACACTAGAGAAAGTTGTTATCCAAAAATCTAAGCATAATGGCGCTACTATGACATTCAAAATTCCAAGGGAGTTGTTGAACTTCCCTCGAATATCTTCCAAAGCACAACTTGTCTTCATGGAGTACGTGCAAAGTCTAGTTATAGCCTGTTTACATCTCCTTGGGACATAGAAATGTAATCAATGTATGGTTGTGCTAGCTAAAAGCTAAGTTGACAATTTTTTTTCAAGGCAAGGATAGAATTTTGTTCTTATATAGCTAGCTAGGTTGGCCAATAATTAAATATTACTCCCTCCCTCCTGCTATGAGACTTAACTCGTTATTTATAAATGGAAAAATAATCAAATACACTTCAGAACTTTATACAAAAGGTTAATTAAGTTTATAATCTTTAAAAAATTGTAATTAAACTTATTAACTTGTAATTATCGTGCGGCATTCAAGCCAAGAATCGATTAATTCTAGGCAATCGCTGATAACACCATATGTAGTAGCTAACGTGGCATTTTAAAAATAAAAAAATAAAAAATATTAATATTAAATTTAAAGTAAACAAAAAAAACAGAAAGAAAGATGTCGGCCATGGCTACCATCTTCATCTTTCCCTCCTTCATCGTCTCCAAATTTGGAGATGAAGGAGGGGAAAAGAAGGGAAACACTTTATCAATTTTTTTTGTTAAAAAAAAGAGCAGTTTGTAGGCAGCCAGGAGAGACGAAAAGAGGATGAAAGAAGAAGAAGGTTGCGATTATATATGTTTGTTTGTTTTTTATTTTTGAAAAATTTTAATATCATTACTTTATTTTAAAAATGTCACATCATCTAGCACATAGGATGTTGCAATTACGAGTAATTAATCAGGGAAAATGCTTATACCCCGCCTAAATTTTCTTTCTCGATTTCCTTTCTGATGTGGCTTTCACTCATTGAATGACATGAATTGGTTAATTTACCATTATTTTTTTAAAAGAAAATAGTAACCAATTAACCAATGACACATAAGATGAATTGAAAGCAATATGATGTATACTCAAACTTTTCATTTACATGTCTTTGCCTTTTCTTCTATTGCATTTTACACAATTCATATAGGAGGAATGATGTCATATGTCATTATTCAAAATAAAAATTCCTATATTTTTTATAAAGCACAACAACATAGCTTCATTCCCTTTGGCATATTTGTAGATAACTAGCAAGAAACGTTTAAACCAAAAAAAGATTGTGTGATAGAAGATTCAGCTAGTAAGAATACTCAAGCTAACCATTAGTACATTAGATAATGATATTAAACTTAAAGAGTGAATTACGGAGATACATAAATTCAGTTCAACAAAAATATAATATGATGCTTATATGTAAATGATTTTTGCTTTCTTTGATGCACGATGAAAATTTAAAAGCTTTTGCATAATTTTAAACTCCTTATTAGAGTCAAACTCCACTGAGCGAATAATGACAACCTTTTCAAGTGCGGGAAAGCAAGCAAGTAGTATCTTCATGATTTGCAATTCAAACCTCGACCCATTGAATGATGTAAGCTTTAAAGTGTGACGCATTTTAAGCATTCTAGCCGCACTTTGAAGTCCCTCCCAAAGTATAGGTTTAGAGATTTCTGCATAAAACTTAAAAAAAAATAAAAATCAACCTCAATCAATTCATTTTTTTACACAAGTATTACCTTGTATTAAGTAATGCTAAATAATATTAGAAGAAGAACTAGAATTTCATTAAATAATTTATCAATGAAAATGAAATTACCGATAAATCCATAATATTGAGCTTGCATAATTTTGGGAATATTCGTAATGAATGAATAAATGAAGAAAAGTCATCATCATCATGAAAATTGACATATGATAACACCAGGCATTCCACATTTAAAATGTATTCACTGATGACAAAATGCTTGGAAATAAAAAAGATATAAAAATGGATTAGTTCTTAAAATGTATTTCAAATAAATAATAATCCGCATAAAAAGAAAATGATGAAGAAGTATTGTGGCTAATATATCTCGAAATAAAAATCCAAATAAACAGTATGAATAAATGACAAGTCCAAGTTAACTGGGAGAATAGGAAGATAATCATCAATATCGTCATAGTCTTCATAATCATTGAGTGTTAAACTGCCAAGCCTTGGGGCCATAATGTTAAAATATGACACATTTTGACATCTGTTAAATGAGAGAGTTTCAAGCATAGGAACATTTATAACACAATTCAAATTAATAGCACCAAAGACAACGACATCAAAACTAAGTGAAGTAACATTCAGAAATATGCAAGGCACATGTATTGTTGGTGCAACTAATATTCCCCAAAGTTCCAACCTCTTGAGAGTTAAGCAAGAAAATAAGCAATTTAGGAGCCTGAGGCATTTATTCTATAGAAAATCTGTTTCTAAAGAAACCATATTAATGTTCATTTCTTCAACATCTTTTTGAGTGATAAAAAAGAACCATTGATCGAAATCAAACTTCCGAGAATTAGGCCCATCACTGACGATTGGTGTCAAGCCCCACTTCTAGGACATGACCCGGCCGTATCATTACATTAGGACTTGTAACAATACGTAGCCTAACCATACATACCTCTCGGAACCTTCACAATAACACTTGAATACATAATAATTCCACAGCTAAAATGGCAAAATATAATCAACTAGTTCTTTTCAAAACTCATCAAATCCACTATTAAGTATTTACAATCAAGAGTAGTGTGTCCAAAATGAATCACAAGCACCAAAACCAAACACAATGGTTTACCAAAAATACAAAGGGTCAAATAGAATAACCAAATAAATAAAAGTCTGTGATAAGCTCCAATACTAGGAGTAAGTCTCCTAGTTTCAAGAGTCACCTTCAAGATCCCACCACTTGTGCTCTTGCTATTCACATGTCCTTAACTACTCTGAAACATTAGGAAAAATAAAAATAATGAGCTAATGCCCAGTAAGTGGTACTCTTCTCACCCCGGATCAAGCAACCATAATATAATACACTAAGCTTTAGAGTAATAATTAGATGCAAATCTCGATCTTTAAACCATATCAAAGTCATAATACTTTCATCATACTATACAAAAGTTCCCAAAACAGAAAACTTTAGATACATGGGCATCAACATTATTTCATAATGCAATACATTCAAAAGCACAAATCATTCTTTAACATATTACTCATTGGCAACCTGCAACCACTATTATAACCCGTGGCAAAGGCCATTATCTGCATAATTATTTAGAAAGACTCGACGATTCAGAATTAGTCAGGCTCGACGATTCAGAATTAGTCAGGCTCGACGATTCAGAATGAGCCGGATGGAATGTTCCAACAAATAATTCAAAAGACTCGACGATTCGGAATGAGCAATTAGGAACGTTCCAAGCCGAACGGAACAAACAACAAAATGTAGGTTGCCTCATGAGTTTGGTCAAAACTTCAAAAGAATTCTTATAATCAAATAGCTCATTGTAGCAAAAATCAATTCCTTAAAGATCACATAACAAAGTACATATCCAAAAGTAATATTATGAAATCATAAACTAATAATTGTCAAATAAATTACTTGATCCTCTTTTAGAGCAAAACACGTTAGTACAAACCATACACATACGAATATAGTCAAATATAGTCATGTTCACTTATTCACAAAATCCAAACTTAGACATGCCCAAGGATATCTTTAGTCAAGTTTAATAGTCCAAAAACATATCATAGTCCAAAATACTTTTAACCCATACTAATCCTTAAATGGGCATTCAAAGTAGTAGAGATTCTAAAATAGTTTATGGGTTTTACAAAATAAGGAGAGAAGAGTTAACCACTTACCTAAAACATCCAAATCTTTGCTATTTAGCTCACCCAAATACTCCTTGTCAAAATCCCTAATATTTTCAAACATCAATCTTAGGGTTCCAATGATAAACCAAACTCAAAAAGAGTGAAAAATGGAGATCAAACTCACCTAGAATACTCCCAATAACTTGAGACCTAAGCTTGAAGAAGATGGAGATCAAAACTTCAAGGTTTTCCTTCCCCTATCTCTCTCTAGCCAATATTTTCTTTTTCTTCTTTCAAATGAAATGTTCTTCCAAGATAAAAGGAATTCCTTAAGCTTTAAGGATAGAGAGGGGCAGGTTAGTAATTTACCCAATATCATCTTTTAATAAGTTTTGACTTGTTGACCTCATTTAATAACATAGATATATCTTTATTTCTAAAGTAGTGGGTATTACAATCTCCCCTCCTTAAAATAAGTTTCGTCCTCGAAACTTACATACCTTTAAACTTGGAGAGTTCAGGATATCTATCCATCATATCATCTTCCTTTTCCCATGTTCCTTCTCTTGGGGTATGATGTGATCATTTCACTTTGTTATTGTTTTTAATGTTCAAAAATCCCATATTATAATTGGCGATATTATTATGGCATAACTAAGATAGGTTTAGAGTTTGTCTGTCCAGCTCTACAGTCGACTGATCAATCAGAAGCAACAACAGAAGGACTGACACTGAAGATCTGATTTAGGAAGCTGATTTCTAAAAGTCTTACGCGGTATTATCAGACAAGTTTGGAAATAAGATCAACGTATATTTTCAAGAAAGGTATGGACCTAATCTTCTGAGATTACATTCCTCTTTTATAGTCCTACCTTCTACAATCAAAGTCTTTTATGGAGAGAGTTTATTGAAGAATATATAAGTACCCTTACTCGAAGAGATTTAGGGTTACGCCGAAAGTATGAAGAAACACTCCCCATCTGCTATATGAGATTAGATATTTGATTGTCATGTATCTTCTCAATACAATATGTTCATGGTGATTAAGATGATGAACTTGAGAAGAATCACTGCTGGTTAAACGAAAGGACACTGTGATCACACTGTTGTGGGAACAACTGTAAACAGCGTCATTGAAGTGGACTGCATCAGAGTGGGCTCTCCAAGTGAAGGGATTTCATTGGACTTCTGTATGCATGGCTCTCCATCTTCAACAATCCACTAAACCTGTGTAGACTGGGTATGTACCTTGTGTGGGGCACTTGGGTAAGATTATTGTATATCTACCTTTGTACATTGGATTATGATTTAGTGGATTGGACGCCTATGTGATCGTCCCCCAGACGTAGATACACACTATATCGAACTGGATAAATATTCTGTGTCGTTGGGTTTGTGTTGTTATCCTTCTCTTACATCTTCTCCACGATTTATTATTACTGACTGACTTCGTAACGGAATCAATCAATAATCTCTGACAGTTGATTAATCCTGTTAATCTATCTAAAAAGAGAATATGCAAAATTACATGTGGTATCAGAGCTTTTAAGTCTACATAGTGACTTGATCCGACGGATTGTTTTTAGTTTTGCATTCTCTCTGTCTTTCGCAAGTTTTTCTGTGTGTTCGTTGGCTGGTTGTTTGTATTCAGGATGGATGCAAGTATGAAACCACAAGAACTAGATGGTCATAACTACTCTTTCTGGAAGGCTCGCATGGAGACATATCTTCAAGCACAAGGTACCAGGATTTATCGTACTGTCCTAACTGGGTGGAGTCATCCCACTACTCAGAATGCACAAGGAGTTACTGAAGATAAGCCCATGGAGACTTGAACAGACGATGAAATGAATGCCTCGGATCTAAACAACAAGGCATTAAATTCAATTGTAGGATCTTTGCATGAATCTGTGTTTACTCTTGTCACAGGAGTAAAAGAGGCTAAATGAGTATGAGAAATTCTTGAAACCAGATTTGAAGGAACTATTGATGTCAAACAGTCAAAGCTACAAATGGTTCTGTCAGAATTCGAGGCACTCAGAATGACTGAAGAAGAAACCATTTCGACCTTCCACAGTAGGGTCCAGAATCTTATGAACCGAGCCTCAATCCTTGGAGAGCCTTTCACTGATGAAAGAGTGGTCAAAAAGATCCTTCGATCTTTACCTAAAGGCTTTCGAATGAAAGTAACTGCTATTCAGGAAAACACTGGTTGGGAAAAGAAGACTGTCGGAGAACTCATGGGAAGCTTACACACATATGAACTAGAAGTTCTTGCTAATGATGATCTTGGAAGCAACAGAAAAGGAAAGTTAGTGGCCTTTGTGGCTGAGGTTGATCGAGAATCTGACACAGATGACATAGATGATGAAACCTTGGCACTTTTAACCAAGAATTTCAAGAAAATCTTAAAAGGTTTCAACAGAAAAGGTCAAGGTCAGTCTACCAGAACTCAATACAAAGGCAACAACTCCTCATATCAAAAGGTTGAAACAGCACCTTTCTCATAGAACAATCAACCTTAGATTGGTCGATCAAGACAAAACAGAACCAATTCCACAGACACAGGTAAATCTCTCAACCGGTCAGTGCAGTGTAGGGAATGTGAAGGATATGGTCACATACAGGTTGAATGTGCAACGTATCTCAAAAGGAAAAAAGCTATGTCTGTAGCTACTTTAAGTGACGATGAGGAAGAAACTTCAAATGATCAGTCAGATGATAACGTGGGAAACTTTGTAGGCTTCTTTACCGCTACAGACCTTCAGTCAGACGGAGACCAATCAGATGAAGAATCATACATATCGACTGACGATTTTGAAGAGAGACATACTCAAATTGAAACAGAATTTGCAAAACTTGTTGCTAGCTGGGAACAACTTGTGAAAGTGAATAAGAATATGAATGACGAGCTGAAGCAAAGAGATGATCTTCTAAAGAAACTGAATACTGATCTAGTCATAAAAGAAGATCTCATCACTTAGATAAGGTCCAGAGAAGGAAAACTGATCAAGGAATTGGAGAGTCTGAAGAAAAATATCCAGATGATGGACACCACATCTACCCTAGATAAGATTCTAGACTCTGGCAGAAATCCGAATGATAAAAAGGGTTTGGGATTTGAACAAGGTGAATCTTCGAATAACGCACCTAAGTTCATCAAAGAGGATATGTCTAAAACCACAGCTAATCACAACTATGAACAAGGACAGTCATCTCAGTCAGTACAGAACAAGGGAAGGACATACGACCAGACTGCGGATACTGGCCTGGCCAGATTAACTTATCAATCTCATTATTCAAGGTTCAAAAATAAGACTGTCAAAGTTAAATATTACACCCCTATCTGTCACTACTGCCAAACAAAAGGTCATACTCGGCCTGAGTATTATTTTTTTTACAGAGATCAAAGGAAGGAAAAATATCAGAATAAGACCATTACACCCTTCACTAGACAGGTTTGGGTCAGGAAGTCAGAAGTTATCTGCTACCGCACCATTGCTCTGACTGCATCTATAACTGACGCTAGATGGTACTTTGACAGTGGGTGTTCCAGACATATGACAGGAAATGTTAAGTGTCTGATGGCTGTTCCACCCAGCAGTGGAGCCGTAACATATGGAGATGGACAAAAAGGGAGAATAGTTGGGAAAGGTATCCTGAATGTACCAGGCTTACCTCAATTAGAAGAAGTCCTGCTAGTCAGTGGGTTAAAAGCGAATCTAATTAGCATCAGTCAGTTGTGTGATCGAAATTGGAATGTGTGCTTTGATTGTAACTGCTGCAGAGTTAGTGACAAAGCAAATCAACTAGTCATGGAAGGAACTCGGTCCTCAGACAATTGTTATGTTCTGCCAAATGGAACTACTTGTCACTTATCCAAATCAGATGAATCAAAACTCTGGCATAGACGACTGGGTCACGTAAACTTCAGAGATATGGATAAGTTGATAAAACTGGAAGCAGTGAAAGGTGTACCTAAAATCAGAATAGATCCGGAAAAAATCTGTGGTGCTTGTGCTATTGGGAAACAAATCAGAACTCCAGACAAAGCAGTAAGAGGCATCACCACTGAGAAGTGCCTAGATCTTGTCCACATAGACCTCAAGGGGCCAACGCAAACTGAAAGCATTGGGGGAAAGAAATACATATTTGTGTGTGTAGATGATTTCTCTCGATACAGCTGGGTATACTTTCTGAGAGAAAAGACAGAAGCTTTCAAGGCCTTTAAAACTCTGTGTATAAGAGTTCAGAAGGAAAAGAATGAGTCTATAATAAAAGTTCAGAGAATGAGGAGTGATCATGGAAAGGAATTCGAGAAATCACTATATTCAGATTTCTGCTCCGAGCACGGTATTCACATGAGTTCCCAGCCCCTAGAACTGCTCAACGGAATGGAGTAGTGGAAAGAAAGAATCGAACTTTGCAAGAAATGGCTAGAGTTATGCTACATGCCTCGCATCTGCCGCAACGCTTCTGGGCTGAAGCAGTTCACACAGCTTGTCATACTATAAATAGGGTCTATCTTAGACCAGGAACAACTAAAACTCCATATGAGCTCTGGAAGGGAAAGAAGCCAAATCTGAAGTATTTTCATGTATTTGGGACAAAGTGCTATGTGCTAGCTGATAGAGAACAAAGAGGGAAGTTCGAACCAAAGAGTGATGAGAGCATCTTCCTTGGATACTCTCCAAACAGTCGTGCTTACAGAGTCTACAACAAGAGGACTCAATCTGTGATGGAGTCAGTAAATGTGGTTATCGATGACAATCTAGAAGAATCAATAGACTCAACAGTGACAGATTCAGTGACAGAACTTCCTCTCAGTGATACAACCGCTACTAACAGCAACAGTCAGCCCAAACCACAAGAATCGTCAGATGAAGATCAAGAAAGTTCAGATCAGGAGACAAACCTCATAAATGATACAGGTAACGACAAACCCACCAGAACTCAAAAAAATCATCCATCAGATAACATTATTGGAGATTCATCAGATGGAATGAAGACCCAAAGCAGAATAAGAAATAATCTAACAGAAGTATCTGTGTCTGCTTGTTATACCTCAAAGATAGAACCCAAAAATGTTAAA